GTGCAAATTTTATTAGATTCATCTACTTGTGGAGGTGCTGTTTAAATGTTGAAGATGTTGGAATGCATTGAGTTGGGGACAATCTCCAACTTTGTGGTGGCTGGAAAATTCACCTAACTTTGAGGTGTATGGGACGGTCCCCTCATAAAAAAAAATCCTTTTCATAACTGTGAGTGCTGATTTGAGTTGTCAAAATCAGATTAATCTAACCTAACTAATCACCTAACCTAATCTTCCAAATCCATTTAAAATTTGAATGGGATTGCCCCAAAACCAGGACCGTGCCTCTAAATGCATATAACCATTTTGCAAGTGGGTTCTTTAAATTCGAAAGATTTGAGTAGGGGTCTTATGGTTCCCATACATTCAATTAGAACAAGAAACACAGGATTTCTTCGTCAAATGTACCAACTTAAAGACCACTTAGAGATTTAGAGATATAAAAAATCAGGTCAACCATTATAATTAAAACTTAAAAAAGTCGTTATGTACAAAATGTGTTGTATGGTAAAACCATGTTTTCATCTACCTAATCTTCTTCTTCTTCTGTCTGCCGGCAAGAATCTGTGTGACAAACTCCACCAATACCCTTTTAACTTTTGCCTAATTCAAACCTTCCTTCAAACCAAGCATCCACTAAAAACCTTTGGTGTAGCTACCTTCCTCAGACTATAATACCATCTATTCAACCAACTAAACCCCCAATTATAAGAACTACTATCACCAAATTCCACCTTTTTCATATGTACAAACCCTAAACATCAAGCAAAGAATATGCCATATGCCAACCAAATTGAACACAGGGAATAAATCTCCTAGCTGTACGGAATTGCCTTTCTATGCACTTTAAGAATATGATTTGATCAAGAGCAATGCTAGCAACACTCGCCATTTGCACTCTCCATCCAACACTTCCAATTTCATTGGGCCACGTTATGTTGGTTAGGGAGAAGTAATCATTTCATACCGGAAGCAAGCTTATGTGGCCCAATAAAAAAGCATGTGTTGGCCCGGAGAGTGCAGGAGGCGTGTGCCCCTAGCACTGCTCTTTGATCAATCCCAAATTGTATAGATTCCTTCTCACTAAGCTCCCAAGTGAAAACACGGCCCCACCAACCCCTACTGCTTGTTCTTCCCTTTCTGCCTTTTCATGATATATCAATGGCAATTCCTTCACCTTTAGATCGCTCATACCAATTTTCTGTCTGACAGCTTCGATGATCTTGGGATCTGCAGGGTTCCCAATTGCATCTGTTACGTAGAAAATATTTTGAGTCATGTCACTTGTGGTTGATATCTCAGCTCTTGTCACGTTTAGAGCATTTTCTCTGAATGTTCTTGTCACATCTGCTAATAGGCCCTGTCTATCCGTTGTGCATAATTCCAGCCTTACACCCTGCAAGCATTCAGTTATGATATTAACAAATGGACATCATAAAAACGAATGATTCCAAGGTCCTATTCTGATAGAGAGATTACTTCCATATATATATATATATACCTCAGATGCTCTTCTTTCAACAGCAGCTCGTAAGCATTGAATTACCCTCTGTCTCTCAGGTTCTGAACTAATGGGAGTTCCATCCATATGCCGAATATAAAACTCCTGAAACAAGATAATTAAACCAAGTTTTAATGTCAAAAAACACAGCTTGCATAACAAAATTCAGAAAGAATTAAGTAATTGCCAAATTCCTAAAGAAATTTAGAAAGAGTAACTTATTAAGTACCAGATATGCTCTGTCTCCCTCTGTGTTGATAGTGGCATGAAACACAACGTACTGCATATCTGTCAACGTACAAACAATATCAAACAAAAGCTTGGTCCTATCCTTGCACTGAACATTCACAGCCGAATAAGCCCTCTCCTCCCAGTCATACACAGTGACCAGTGGAGAATCAGCACTGCACTTTAAAATGGGTTTCCTTTCATAGTCACGATCAGCGAACATCATCTGATGCAACCTTCTCTCGGTGTGAGTTACAGCCATCGAAACTGTCATTTTTGCACTACGAATGTCATTAGCTCCCTTGAGAACATTCCTTAAACGTGCTTTGATTCTGTCAATTTTCTGCGAGTCCTCAATGGGACTACCTGAATTGCAGTCTTTAACATAGATCAAGGATGCAATGCGACCATTGTGAGTCCACACTTTAGACTCCACCACATTGCATTGCAGGTCAGCTAAAACTGCAAATACTTCTGACAAAAGACCAACACGATCAGTCCCGGTCAGTTCCAAAGCCGTTAAACCATGAAATCCATAGTCTCTGCAGCCATGGAGTGTGGTTTCAAGGGACTGCAACACAACCACAAATTAAAAAAAAAAAAAATGTTCAGTTTCAAGTTTCAAGTTTCAA